AACAGAGTTGACTAGGATACTTGCTAATAGAAATAACGTGGCCTTTAAAAAACTCTATTAGAAGTAAATTTCTTAGAACCATCTTTATATTTTTCATTGGATAAAACTTTTTAAAACTTCAAAAAATGTTTTCTTAAATAATTGAGACTTGGTGGGTGGTGGTGGCCCACACCTTTAATCCCATCCGGCACAGGAGGCGAGACAGGCGAGTTCGAGGCCAGCCTGGTCTACAGAGTGAGTACCAGGACAGCCAGAACTACACAGTGAAACCCTGTTTTGAAACAAACAAAACAAAAACCTGAGACTCAAGTTGGTCTTAATTCCAAGGAACCTTTGTTTTTACTTGTTTTGCTACAGGACAGCTCCTCAGGCAATGTGTCTGAAGGGGACAGCCCCCCTGACAGCCAGGAGGACGCCTTCCAGGGAAGACAGAAATCAAAAGACAAAGTGGCCACTCCAAGAAAAGATGGCTCCAAACGCTCTGTACTGTCCAAGTCAGTTCCTGGGTACAAGGTAGAAGAAAAAAGCCCCTGACTCAGCCTCTTCCGTTAGCTCTGAGCTGAGGAGCTGAGCTCGTTGAGCTCGCTCCGTCCCTGTGCTGCGCACCTGCCCACTGCTTTCCTTCCCTGGTGGCTTTCTTGTCACTTTCGGCCATGGTATGGCTTCTGTTTCCTGCATATAAACAAATTATGGGTCTTCATCCCTTTTAGTAATAGCCAGGCGGATATGAGTTTTTAAAGCATTGTTTCAAGGCAGAACTTGATTTTTTAGTAATAGCCAGGCGGATATGAGTTTTTAAAACATTGTTTCAAGGCAGAACCTGATTTTTTTTTTTTTTTTTTTTTTTGAGGACAGGGCATAATTGTCTAGAATGTTAGCTATCTGAGCAGTTGGTAAAGCTAAGCTTGGTGAGCTGTGAAGTAGGAGTGGAGCTCATCAGGTGGTGTTTCTGTAGTGCCTTCACTGAGAAGATCTGGGGTTTCTCTAAGGACTGTTGTCCAGTTGCCAAATCTGCCAAGTTTGGGATAGACAACCATGAAGCCTGTTACTTCCATCATGCTTTTGTGGAACCTCTGGCAGATAGTGGGGTACCATGGTCGACAAGGACGAAAGCCTAGTTTGTGGATCTGATTATTCTGAGTAAGGTCCTGGAGGATCAGAAGCTCTGGTGTTTTTAGTGTTTCTTTTCCGTCTACCTCTCCTTCAGAAGGTTGGGTGAGGGGAGCAGCTCTAGTGGTGCAGAGGGTGTGAGCGTAGGAGGAATGGACTTAGTGGTCAGCTGTATGACGTGGATGGCGCTGCCCAGCTTACAGTTCTGGTCCTGGTGTGCTGGACTGTACGTGTTAGCATTGGAACCATGGCACGTGGCACAGAAAACAAGCAGAAGTGAGCTGTGAGCCATTTTCTTCAGCCTCACTGGAACACTTGCTGAGTGTACATCATTAATATAATGTTCCATGAGCTATTAGAAATGCCACATGCTTTTGTGTATGGCCAGCAGATTGTATTTTTTTTATACATGTATAGCTTATCTATGCTTTGTAAACTAAAGATTTCAGTTACTGCTTAATAATTGAAACCAAACAAACTCCAAAGATGACATTTTAGAAACAGCCTGCAGGGGCCAGTATGTGTCACTGTCTTAGAGCTCCCAGGGCTGAGGAAGCTGTTTGATCATGCATTATAAAATAGAGAATATTGACATAGACATATAATACAGGCTACCAATGAAGAACTATCCATATCATTACTGATCTAGTGAATGGATCATATAGATTAATCTTAGTTAATAGTACTCAAGGGAGCTGCATATGCAAAGTAAACATTTTATAATCTGTAAACATTTTTAGTAACTAAAAATGTTTCAGGTATTTCAAAGATAGGAACAGTCAATATATAGATATTATATATTAATGTGAACATGATTATTAAAAGTTAACCTCTCTATGAAAAGTATTAATGAGCCAAGATGTGCCTAAATATTAGGGTACTTCAAGCTGACACTCGGACATAGATACACACAAACACACATGATCATGTATGTGATTTACTAAGATGGACTAGTGCTTGCCCTTAACTTGTAGGACAGTATTACTTAGGTTACATTAACCTGAAATTAAAGTGTAATTGTTAGGCTTCCGGCCTACACACACATAATTAAAATCTATACTATGTTAGTGCTACCATCAAAGTTTCAACTTATTTTGCTATTTTCAACAAGAGACGTAAGTATACACGAGCCTTTTATTTGAGATGCTGAGGGCTGTCGGGTGAAGAAAACTAAAAGGTTGTTGCAGTTGTTTGAAAGAGATCAGAGGGTCTCCCCCATGATCTTCAAGGGACTGTGCACCTTCCCTCTCCCCCTCAGTGCTGTCTTTAGACTGTCTGTGAGGCCCTGGACGCAGGATCTCTGACGTGTTAGAGCCTGGGTGCTGACCTGTAGCATCACCGTAGACAACCCTGCAGTGCTGTCCTCTCCCGCTGTCACCTTCTTTCTTCATCCTTCTTCCCTGCTCCCATTCTGTCTTTTCCCATATTTTTCTTTTCAACAAGATGAAGATTATTGGGTAAGAAAAAATTTTTTAAATGGTTTAACAAAACATGTATAATTTTAAAGGTAAACCTTGAATTTTCTTAGTGTCTCTCTTGTTGTAGGCATTACATGTATTTTAGTGACTGTAGAACTTGAATTGCTCTAGAATGTGAATAACTAGATTTGTGTTTTATTCTTTTTGAGTTGCTTTGTAAAGAGTCTCCTATGAGGAATTCTCTTTTCACAATTGAATATTGTGTAGTTTCTTCCCTGACTTTAGTGAAAGAAATGAGAGTACTTACTATGCCAGTGTCTAACTGAACTCAGTATCCAGTAAGTTTATCTTTTACATTTAGTGCAGGTTGTTGAAAGTTCTGCTGCACAGTATGGCAGTTAAGATGCAGCGTTAGAACTGAACTTCCTGGACGCAGTGAAACCATGTACTTAGGATGAAGCAAGAACAGCAGAGTAACTAACTGCTGCCAGTTCTGGGGGAGCAGGGTGTAGAATACACAGAGGAGATGGAGCGTAGTCACTGGGGACATTTTATATGTGTGTTTAACTTCATGATATTTATTATTTTGTAGAGACATTTGTGATTGTTTAGATATTGTTTCATCATATTTATGTATAAGGTTGACTTTTTAAAAAATAAATAACCCAAAAATTGTTTTTGAATGCCTCTGTCATCTTTTGCCAAGAAAATATTAAAAGTAAAAACAAATTATTTAGGTCTGACAAGATATACAAGTGGCAGTGAAGCATTTACAGTGATACTGCTTTGTGAAAGTTTGAGTTTAGATGTCTGTGGTACAGTAATTTAGAAAAGAAACAATGTATTTGACTGCTAGACTATTACCCTGTTATCATCCTTGTCCCTCCCCTTTTTACCATTTACGGATGCACACCTGTATGTAGTCCATGTGAGTACCACGTGGAGGTCAGGCTTGTGATGCTCAGAGAGCCCTTCTTTGCCTACGCCCTTCCTTTCCCTGGCATTTTAGGTTTAGGAAACTCCTTATTCTTTATCCTACATATGTTTAAAGCCCTAATAATGTGTATGTCTTTAATCTGAAAGATAATAGTCAAAATATGCTTTGTCTATTTCCTTGACCCTAACTTTCCTTGTCTGGAAGCACTTTTTGTGCCTGACTTGTCACAGGGAAGTGAATGCTGCTCTCCTAACTTTTTAGACATGGAACAGGATTTGCATACAACTCAGATTTCTAAAGACATTTATGCACAACAGTGGATGAATGAGAAATCTTTCAATTAAAATGTTAAAATATTGGTTTTTTTTAACTTAGATTTTTTTTTAGGTTCAGCTTTGTATCTCTGGAAAAATATCAGACTTTGAAATAAAGTGAATATATAAGTTGCTTAAAACTTAGGCTTAGCTTTTATGTGTGGTCATTTGGCACATGGATTTTTCTTTACCACTTATTAGTGGCATTTGACATCCTATTTCATTTTTCCTTTCCTGGTCTTTATATAGCTGATGCTTTGTGTGCAGGGAGCACAGAGCTACATCCAGGCAGCACAGTTTAATGCTATGTTATGGGGTGCAGCCTAGGTTTCCATAGGTAGGGGGTTTTATGTTTTATTTCCAGTTATAAGGTTCTCATTATCAAATTACCAAAAGTAAAGGTAATAACAGAATCCCTTTTGAACCGTAGTGAGTTCTTCTGGCATGAATTTATAGCCCTCTTCTACCCTTCCAGCCAAAGGTCATTCCAAATGCTCTATGTGGAATTTGTCTGAAGGGTAAGGAGTCCAACAAGAAAGGAAAGGCTGAATCACTTATACACTGCTCCCAGTGTGATAACAGTGGTAAGTAGAGATGTCTCCTTAAGATTCTAACCTCCCCCTGCGTGTCGCCTCAGAAACTAGGGTTCATAGTTGTCAGCCAGGCATCCACCAAAGAACCAACAAATGGACCCATGTGTCCTGTGCCTTGATTTTGATGTTTATGGTGATAGTAATCATGACAGCCAATCTTGGGAACTAATATTTTATATGCATTAAGTTAAAAGTTTTATTGTGAAATGCTATTAATGTTGGTTTTGATTTAGGCCACCCTTCTTGCTTGGATATGACCATGGAGCTTGTTTCTATGATTAAGACCTACCCATGGCAGTGTATGGAATGTAAGACATGCATTATATGTGGACAGCCCCACCACGAAGAAGAAATGATGTTCTGTGATGTGTGTGACAGAGGTTATCATACTTTTTGTGTGGGCCTTGGTGCTATTCCATCAGGTAAAGATGTGTGTTGAAGATCTCCCAGCACTTTTTTTAAGGCTGCATAAGTGTTTCAATTATGATCAGGTCATTATTGCCCATATCACAGCTACCTGACTTCCATCCTTAGTGCAACCAAAGAAGAAATGAAATAGTGCTTAGGTCATGTCTGCAAGTATTGTCTGGGGATAGAACGAGCTGGTGTTTTCTACTAAAATTGCTGAAGTAACACCCAGTTTGTTCCAATGCTTTGATTTTTATTTTTAAAGGTCATCTATTTAGAAACTTAACAAAGTGGCTGTTATGCCTTTATATACTAAGACATCTTTCCATAAAGGAGGCAGCATGACAATTCCAGATAATTTTAGGATGGACACAGAATCAAATTGTAAATCACAGTAATTCTATTGAAATATTATACAGATAATTGTGCAATTTTAAGAACTTAGTTGCATAGTTAACACTGTATAGTACTTTGTAAGTTTCCTGGAATTCCATCACTTAATGTTCTGTAGTAATTCAGCTCAAGTGTGTGGTAGAGGTGCTGGCTTTAAAGTGCCATGGAGAGAACCGTGAGAATAGTGGAGGGGAGGTCACAGAAGGCAGACTCATCGGCAGGTTCTACATTAGGACAGGTGCTGCTGAGGTTTTAGAGCATGATGGTATCTGAATTTTAGGAAGGATTATAATGTATCTTTTTAAAGGTACAAATGATTGTTTTGTGCCCTCCATGCACTGAATCCTACACTGCATTGGTTACACTGATTAGGGCTGTTTTTGTTTTCTTCCTTGTTTAAGGAGCTCAGCACTCCCTCCCCCACTGAAAAGTCCCAGAGTTATCACTATGGATAGATAGCTCAGGAATGAGTTTAGGTGGTTTGTACTCAGTCCTATAAAAATAAAATTCCACTCCGTATTAACTAACAATTTTTCTCCTAGGTCGCTGGATTTGTGACTGTTGTCAGCGAGCTCCCCCAACACCCAGGAAAGTGGGCAGAAGGGGAAAAAACAGCAAAGAGGGCTAAAAATAGGTTTTTGACCCTCATGTTTGGGATATTTGGTGCCAATTTATTTACACTTTCATTTTTATGCCAATAAAGAACTTTTTTTGAAATTAACTATGACCTTAAACATCTTCAAGTTGATTTATTTCATCATTAGCAACTCCTACCCTTGAAAGAAAGTCAAGAGAAATGGCTCATTTCCCCAGATTTTAATCTCTTTTGTGCTTTTTCCGGAGATCAGCAGAAAAATGTATCAACTTAATTTGAAATACTTCTTGAGTCAAAGTTACCGTCTGCTATGACTGTCCTGGCCTGCGTAGGCAGTATCAAGGTTATTCCTGTCAGCCCAAGACCTGGTCCAACTGGATCCGGGACGGTCATCAGCTGGCACAGCAACAGTCTGCAGAGGCCTTGAGTATCAGGTACCCTGTCCCTCCTGTGCACAGAGGCTGTAATCGCATTCCCGACCTGGCTTTAGGACCTCATTAAAGCTCCAAGTGCTGGACTTCATTTAGAATGTCTATAGAATAAATTCTACAGCCTTTTAATTTCATTTGCATTAGCACAAAAGTTTAATCTGATTTATACAGCCTGTTACTGCAGGGATCATTTTACTCACCTGACTAATCAAAATGTATTTAAACATTTTATTGAGCAGACTCCTTTTGTAGAAATTTTAATCTATAAAATATTGTGCTTGCTGCTTTTCCTGCTTGGGGAGTAAACTGAGGTAACAAAACTGTATGGCTTTATTTTTCCATCCTAGTCTAGAAAAAGTAACCAGAATTTCACCAGGTCAAGTAACAAGGTCCGCGGCAAACCAGTCGATCCGTGCAAATAAAGGTTTAGAAGAGAATTTCCAGCACCAATTTCAAAATGCTAATCAATATCGTCCAGAGGACCGATTCCTCCTCTTGGGCTGCCTCCTCTGGAGCATAAGCTTGGTTCTGACTGGCTCCTGTGGGGTCAGCAGAATAGGCAGCCTCTCCAAATGGGTACTGATCCACAGTTCTGTCAGAGTACACCCTCATCTCAAAGTCGCTTTCATGGTGTGAGGGGTGTCCATAAATTCCTATCCCCACCGGGCGCTGGAAGTGCGCCGGTATAGAGACCACATCCTGGCCGCAAGTGACCGACTGCAGCTCATAGTCGTCAAAGCTTGGGTGCAGAGTGGTGTCGGACACGTACAGGTCCGCATCCCCTCTGAGGCTCTGCATCCTGAGAATAATTTTACCCTCGTGGTTCAACCGCAAGTAGCTGTAATTCCCGGCTCCTATCTGGCCTTGGACCACGTGCAGAAGGAGCCACTCCTCCGGGACGTCGTCCTCTTCCAAGCATTTTACCAGGGTCACCACCTGGGACGCCAGGATCATCAACAGGGCGCACCTCCAGGGAGTAGCCATCGCCGAGACACTCAACTCGGGGACTCCCTCATCTGCAGCCGCTGTGGTGGGAAGGCGCGGGTGACAGGCTTGACCGGGGGTGCTCGTCCAGGCGACCAAGATGCGTGCAGCTGGGTCCCGGGCACCGAGAGTGGGGAAGGGGGTGGAGAGAAGGGGTAAAGAGTAGGGAACGACAGAAAGGGGAGGAGGAGGCGGGGTGGGAAGAGAGGGGCGGTAGGACAGGGCCCTGGGGGCGCAGGTGTCTGGAGAGGAGCGGGGTTGCCGACCCCGGACTCACCGCCACACCCCGCAGGCCACGCAGCACCCGCAGCATCCGGCCTCAACCTGGAACTCGCCCCAGCAGGCGGAAGAGAAGCCGTGCCCGGAAGTGTGGTACGCCGGAAGCGAGAACTTTCGGGAACGGACTCAGGCCTACGGACCGGAAGTGAGGCAATGCCGCGCTCTCGCGAGAGTAGAGAGGAGGCGTGTAGCGTCAAGGGTCCACTTTCTCGTAACCATAGTGATGCGAAGACGCTAGCAGCCAGTTCGGGAGACGGCGGGGGAGGCGGCCAGAGGCCGCGGCGTGGCGTTGGCGCGTGTATCCGCGACGTCTTCCGGCGACAGGCTCCTGAGAGGGGACGGCCAGAGAGCCCACTCCGGTACGACGGAGGACGGAGACGCGCGCGGGCGGGCGTCCCTGATGGCGCCGCCCAGCTTCCTCTCCCACGGGCCGCAGGTGGGGGCGGGGATGGGGCGGGAACGCGCGGCCAGCCCGGACTGCGCACGCGCCAAGCCGTCGGCCTATCTGCGCAGCCGCCAAAGGGCGCTCGCTGAGCCCGGGATCCTGCAAGCCCTTGGGAGTGCAGGCAGCACCGGGAGAGATACATTTGGATTTGTCTTAAACCATGGTAGAAGGAAAAATTTGTATTTCCGCATGAGAACTATTAGTAAGAGTGATTTTTTCTGAGTCCGCTCCAGTTTATATAACAGCACACTGTAGACTTTGTGTGTTTGTTTATTATGTATACATTGTTCTGTCACAACAGAAGAGGGCGCCAGACTTCATCACGGATGGTTGTGAGCCACCATGTTTGCTGGGAATTGATCTCAGGACCTCTGGTAGAGCAGCCAGTACTCTCGACCTCTGAGCCATCTCTTCAGCCCCACACCAGAGATTTAACCGAGTGTCAGAAACAATTGCTTGTTATCCCCCACCCCTTCTTCAGATCATATTTACTGTTTGGAGAGTCTCCCTAGTTTATAAATGTTTGGCTTCAGTACTGGAAAGTCAAGTAGTTCTTGGGACGCATTTACAAGTGCACCAAAGCTGCTCCAGGAGGCGCCATCTCACCACCAGATCGCCTATGGCCCCGCTGAGCCTTAAGACCTTGGACGAGAGGGTTCCACATAGAAATTTTGTAGGGGACATATTCAAACAAGAACATTATGTAATATTCTATGGTGGCACGAAAGTTCAAAATTAGGCTTGAAAATGGTACTTTGTATCGCAGGCTAACAAAAGCAGGGTACTAGTTATTTTTTAGATTAAGAAAACAAAACACTCTTAAGTATAAAGATAGGAACTTCGGGCACATTTAATAATTTATAAAAGAACTGAAGCCTTAGTAATATCCAGGTGTCATTTTGGTGCATTCTTGTACCTCTGTTAACTGTAGTTAATAGATACAGTGTCGTCCTCAAGGTCTAGGTCTGTCGAGAACCTGTGTTGGAAACCGACTCTCTTTCTAGCTAATGCGGAGATTTTCGTCTTTCGCTGTGAGGAAAGCTTCTGGTGTTTGATGATGCTGCCTTTTTCTCTGGGAACCCATTTGCTGTTGAATTGCCCCATTATATTTTCCAAACCCAAGAATGAAGTGACCTGATTCTACCAGTGTAGCTACTGAGAAACATTTTTAATATTATATAATCAGAAGGAAACAATTTTTTCAAAGAATATGCAGATAGAATGAACCAGTTTCAACAGTGATGTTCCTTGGGCAATAGAGGATCATCACATGTTTTTATTTCTGTGTTATGTACAGCTCCTAGTCGATCTGAGATGACTATTCTTGTTTACTGATTTAGCCTTAAAGCCAAGTTGTCTCTATCTGTCTCTCATCATTACATTTCTTGAATTGCTTCCCAGCTCTTACATACACTGTAATCTTACTAGAAAAATAAATGTAGTCTTTCTTAGCCTTCTTTGTCTGATGTGCCCCAGCACTCCCTCCCCCAGACTTTCCATTCATCCACTCTCATGTAGGTGAGGCTTTCAAGGGTCAAGCTTACAAAGTGAAATGTGTTCCTCATGCTTACATGTTTGTCCCTGCCGCTCTGGCTAGCACACAGCCATGCGGTTGTACCTGACTACAGGGGAACTAACTGAGTAGTGATGGTTTGTTTTGTGCTGAGAGCAGTGGTTCTCAAACTTTGTAACACTGTGACCCTTTAGTACAGTGCCTCATGTTGCTACTTCATAGCTGTAATTTTGCTGCTGCTATAAATCATAATGTAAATATCTGATATGCAGGGTATGTGATATGCCTTCCCCCAAACCACAGTAGTTTGGTGAAAAATAAGCAGTTTCCTGTCTCCTAACAAACATCTCTTTCTCTGTGGATCTCAATCAGAAGACATTCACTGCCTCGCAGAGGGACCTAGCATGAAGGGCATAGCCACCCTCCTCACACATTCTCCTTATGGGGCCTGACGGAGGCTTCTCCGGCCCAGAGACCTCGGAGCTGAAGATGCACTGTTGGTCCCACTGGGGTACAGAGCCTCAGTGTGGCCAGGTTACTGTAATGGAGATTTCAGAAGCTGCTTATGCCCGCTCTAAGGTCCTGCTGGTTGGAGTTGGGAATATTTCTCTGATTTCACCCCGATTCTGCTCTTTTTTTTTAAAGGTCCTTTGTTCTACCCTGTGTTTCCACTATGGCCACACGTGACATGGCTACTGAGGGTATTAGAGTGGATGGCATATCCCTTGTGGGAGGTGCACCGTGTGGAGTGTGTGTGTGTGTGTGTGTGTGGATATTAGAGTGGATGGCCCATCCCTTGTGGGAGGTGCACCGTATGGAGTGTGTGTGTGTGTGTGTGTATTAGAGTGGATGGCCCATCCCTTGTGGGAGGTGCACCGTATGGAGTGTGTGTGTGTGTGTA